GGTTGTTTGTTTTGAGATGGTGTTGGTTGTTTGCTGTGAGACGGTGTTGGTTGTTTGCTGTGAGATGGTGTTGGTTGTGAGATGCTGTTGGTTGTTTCGTGTGAGATGTGGTTGTTTGTTTGTTGTGAGATGTGGTTGTTTGTTGTGAGTTGGTGTTTGTTGTGAGATGTTGGTTGTTTGTTTGAAGAAAGAAATGTTTAAAGTATGTAAATGTTTTAAAATGGCTTAGTTATTCGCGTCGGAGAAATAAACAGTTATTAAAAATCTTTAGAATAAAAATCACAATAAAATACGTTGATAAATAATCAAAAGAGCTGGACACTCTGGAAAGAAAATAATTTTAATGAAATTTTATTATAAATATTTACAATAGGAATGACGTTAGTGGCCTTCCATAAGGTACGCCACGCTCCGGACTGGGGGGTGGGGGTGGTTGTGTGAGGGAAGGGGTGTATAATAAAGTGTCATTTTGTGACCCGGGGGAAGTGGGTAAAGATCTACGACGTCATGCATTTTTTTTTTCTTCAAATTATTTTTTTTTAAAATCAGTCATATAATACCGGAACAAATTTAATAGTTAAGTTAGTTAGTTTGAGATTAAATTTTATTAGTATTAATTTTTTTAAATACAAAAGTGAGACGAACTATTGGGTTGTCCCTGAGATTTGTAACAGGGGGGGGGGGGGGGGCTTATAAATTGTCAAAAAAATAGCGTCACCTATTAATGGACCGCCCCTTAGGAGAAACATATTAGTGTAAGAAGTACATATTCAAGTTAGCCAGTCAGTACATGGTCGTGGGGGGTTGGCTGGTCAGATGATTACATAGTATGGATTTGCAAGATTGACACAGTTCCGGAGGTCAAACTACGTTGAGTGATAAAATAGTGGCCTAGTTAGTTATTGGACAGGACACCTCGAGAGGATGCCAGATTGTAGAGCAGCAAATGTCATCTACAGACAGAGACCTATGGGGTGAAGACTGAGATGGATTGATGGCGTAGAGAAGGACTTACATCAGCTGGGGGTACGCGCATGTAGGCAGAAAGCCATGGATCGACTCGAGAGGAAGAGTTTGGTGGAGCAGGCCAGGGCCCTACAGCAGCCAGGGCCCTACATGGGCTTCAGCACCACTGATGATGATGTCTAAATCGAAGGGTGTGGTGGAGCAGGCCAGCCCTACATGGGCTGTGGTACCACTGATGATGAGTTAATAAATGAATCTTATCTTATTTACTTTGTAGTTTTGAAATGTGAACACTGAAACACCTCGCCAATTGCTTCATCCCTTTTCGTGTATACAATCACAATGCTACATCACTTAGACTGCATTTTATGGACTGATGCACTTATCAATGTTTACTTTAGTGATGAGTTCATGAAATATAGAGGAAACATATGCACACAAAGGGAAGGAAGGCACATGTAGAGGGGAGACAATGCACGTGTTTAGGGATAGTTTGGCCTCTACCCTTGGCGAAGACATCGCAAATGTTAAAACAGTTGCCTAAAACGTTAAATCTATATAGAGTTTATTGTTAACTTATAACGGGGGGCATGGAACTGTTCACCCCAGTGAAGCACCAAGTTACGCCCTTGTTCGCAGGTACGCCTCCGCCTAAACACCGTAGTCACGATGCGCGAGCCTTAGCCAGTGGCATCACGTGCCTGTCACTAGCCACACCAGGACTTAAGCAGTGGCACTTTCGATATGTTTTTTTTTTTTATAATTGTGTTTTGGAGTCAGCACTAGTTTGTGAACTCGACTGGGAACTCGCGGGATCGCGTGAAATGCTCAATCAAGTAATATGTGTAGAGCAGGCGGGCACATCTCAAAATACTTAGGTCATGTGTACATTGTCATTGTGTTTAACGTTAGTTTTGCAAATCGATGTTTTTATTAGTGGGTCGTCACAGTTGGCGTCGGGGGTCAACAAGTGTTGCCAAGGAGATAGAGGAGCAGGCGAGACTTGTCCAAACTTTCAATAAAAAAAATAGACGAAAGCGTGGTCAGGTGTAGTTGTGTGACGGACATGGAATCCCAGTCGAGTTGGACTTTTCCCAGATAGCAGGGGCAACACTAGGTCACGGACGGCGCTTAGACTTTAAAGGTTAAAGATGCACATAATTTAATCCTTGTCATCAGGCCTTCACAACTCAAATGTAACTTCTCTTTTGTTCGTGCGTTTCTTTATTTCTGTCTGGGTGTGTGGCAAAAATCTTTCGAACGGCAACTAGACCCACTTCCCGTCATCCTATCAAGCTGAAACTCGGCACATAGACTCGTTGCCAATGAAAACACATTCTGTCAAATTTTCAAATTAAGAAATGGAGGGGGTGGGGCTGCGAGTGTTAGCACTTTTCATGGTGTAACATAAGTTGGGGAAAGAGATGACTTTCCTTCCTGAACCTAGAAACCTTAACTCCACACCATATTTTTTTCTTAAGCCTGGGAAGCACACTGGTAAAGTCTGGCAGATTGGGTAACACATGAATTTCTTTTTCTTTCAGTTTAATTACTATGAATTAAGTTATATAGTTTTGAAAAATGGAGGCAAATATTATATTTCGAGTAAAAAATATATTTTCTGAAAAAAATAATAGAAACTAGGGCCTAACCGGTTGAAGTTTGTTTACACCGGGCCCGAGTATTTTGAGGAAATACCCGGTGGGTCCAAGTGTTACAATAAAATAAAAGATTAACTTCTCATTTTCTGTAAAATATTCCAACCTTTAATCAAGAGGCCTACAGACAGGTCTACAGACAGTCCTATATACAGTCCCATTAACAGTCCTACTGACAGTCCTACAGACAATCCTATAGACAGTCCTATAGACAATCCTACAGACAGTCCTACACCATACCCGAGGCTCTTTATTGGTAATACAACAGTCGCCTGCCCTGACAGGAAAAAAATCAACCTGAACGGATCTCAGACGTCACGCATGAAAGCTCGCTGCGTGACATTTTTTTCTCTCATTACTATTAATATAAACATGGGGAGTTGGGGGTCGGTTGTGAAGAGGAAGCAGGACACACCAGAAAGCAAATCATGTATAAAAGGCAGGTACTTCCCTAAAATGCTGCACACCTGTTTTGTAGTGAGCGAATTTCTCTCTGCTGTAACTGCAACGTGAATTCTAACATAAGGAGTCCAACCACGACAAACGTACAGCAACTTTAGGGGTAATGTACGGATGGCTGACAGCGTCACATAAAATAAGGAGTCCAACCATGACAAACATATCAACAAGCTATAGGGTCACTGCATCCATGACTGACAGCGTCACTCCATGCATGGCTGGCAGCGTTACATGACATAAGGAGTCCAACCACGACACACATACCAACAAGCTTTAGGGGCAATGTATGCATGGCTGACAGCGTCACATGACATAAGGGGTCCAACCACGACAAACATGCCAACGAGCTATCACCTCTGTGCATCTGCAAGGGTACTTAAACTATTGCGCCTGCTTGGCCCCTCCACCCCACCCCACACACCGTTGGTGGGGAATGCAGTGCCAGGAAGTGCGGGACGATCCAGAAAATCAGGTATATTAGCATTTTATAGCATGGGTTGAGATGATTGTGTTTTATAATCAAGAATAATAAAAATAAAAAAAAGAACAATAAAAAAAAACAAAAAAAAAACAACAACTTTAAGAACCTCTGTGCTGCTGTTTGGGGTTCATAACCTCGTGACCCGGTAGTTGCTAACTCTCGAACCAGAAATTTCATTAAAAATCGTGTTCAGATGATGACTTGTGTTTTTGTTTGTGCCAGACCAAAGCCAAGAGCAGATTACGTCTTATCTTTTTTAAATGAACAAGAGGTTCTAAAACTTTGGGTCGTGACCACAAAAATATTTTGAACTTGGTCAGGATGGGTAATATTGAAATAATATCTTTTGGCATATAATATTTCAAATATTTAATTTAAAAAAATTATTTCTCATCAATAAATAGTCGTAGCTCAAGCTCAAAATCTTTTTTTTTTTTTTAAATTTTTTTCATCAACAGGGTTTAAGACCCTAAAGGCTAGTTTATCATTATTTTTAATTTGAAAGATAGAAATGAAGAGTACAAGTCTAGGTCGTAACAATCTTGATTTCTCCAGGTAAATCATGATTTACAATTTTGCCTGCCTCTTTTTCTTCTTCTTCTTTTTTTTTTTTTTACACAATCATAACAGTGGCGTAACTACATTTGGGACAGACGGAGTTTTACCTGGATACCCCCCCCCCCCCCCCCC